GATCCCGTGAGGGAGGGAGGCTCGGTCCTCAGCATTCACGCATTCCCATTTGTGAATTCACCTCCTGGCTGAACTGTACTGGTGACCCCCAAATCAGTGCCCGTGGCCTGTCATGGACGTGCCCAGAGTGGGAGATACTGGAGTCGCCTGATGTGCACATTTGCAGCTGAGGTTGAACAAGGCCTTTGACCCTGGCCTTTTTTCAGCTCTCACCTACCATCGTCCTCTTCGTGGGCCATTGAGTGCCATGGTATTCATTTTTGTGCGTTTTGGTGACGATTTCGCTGTTTGAAATGGCCCCCAAATGGAGTGCTGAAGTGCTGTCTAGTGTTCTCAAGTGCAAGGCTGCACTGGGCCTTACGGGGAATGTACGAGTGACACACAAGGGTCATTCGGCCCCAGGTATGGTGCTGTTGGCTCTGAGTGTATTACACGAGGCGTCTTTATGTCTTGATCAGCTGACACAATGTGACCAGAGACTCCCAGGAACTTGTGGGCATAGGTTCAGTATTCACTAATTCAGGGTTCGCGTGTCTGGGTAGAACATTATACTGTGAATCATGAGAATTGACTGAGCTATTGTTATCCTTTAAAAAAACCACAGCAACAGAGGAGAAAACAGGCTCAGGGAGATTAAACAACTTCTTCAAGGTCAATGCTCCTAGTTAGTGGCACAGGCAGTATTCGAATCCAGGTCTTGCCTCAACCCAGAAGCGTGACCACATGAAGCCTTCCTCCAGCAGGTGAAGGAGAGTCAGCGATAGACCAGGCCCTGGTGGAGAATACACCCCAGCTAGAGGCTGTCAGTTGGGAGGCAGGCCAGGCGGCTAGGTCTTCCTTCTTTATGCTTTCTTTCTTTTTTTTCTTTCCTGAGAAGAAGATATCTGAATTTTGATGGGTACCTTAAAATTTTGGAATGCTGATACAATAATTATTTTTTTGTTGTGTTTGTTTTTCAAAAAATCTGCTTTATTTGGGCAGGACAGAGGACCAGGAGCAGTGGTTCTCAACCTTCATAATGCCGTGATCCTTTAATACAGTTCCTCATGTTGTGGTGACCCCAATTTCATTGTTACAAATTGAACATAATTAAAGCATAGTGATTAATCACAAAAACAATATGTAATTATATATGTGTTTTCCGATGGTCTTAGGCGACCCCTGTGAAAGGGT